TCAGTATTTAGCACACAATAGAAGACATTGCATTTACTAAATGATATTTAGACAGACTTAAAGAAGTTCCAGATCTATACTTGTGCTCTTATTATTTCCGTTATTTTGCCTTTAATGTACATAAACATGTGCAAACAATATACGTGCTCTTGTGAATTTATTTTGATGTTAATTACATTGTGCGAGCTGTCTCTTTAATACCACGTAGTTTATATACATGTTGCTGCTGATTGGGCTGACATTTGACACACCCACCAAACAAGAGAAAACGTATCTCAAACCCCGTTGCACACCGTTTCCAGGAAACATATCGTTCAAACCGGAAACCGTAGCAAAACGGTGCATACCGGTTTGAGCTTGAACTTGCCCCTGATGTCTTTCTCTTTTATACGCTATACACATTAAAAGAACATGCTCAACCGTTTCTGGTAGTCCACATTTATCACAATTGCCCGTTTCATGTTTCCCTATTATGTACAAACAAATTATTTAATGCTACATGTCCGATGGACCCTTTTCACAAGACTATGATGTGACCGTTCAACGGTCATCAGCATCATAAATCCTTGAAAGTTTTTCATATTGGTATTTTTTTTTAAATGTATGTACATTTATAACACTATCCTTTGTATATTACCTTTGCATCAAATTACCAAAAAAAAAAATAGTTTACGCGGGTGTTACACGGGTGTTTCTAATACATCGTTCCCTCTGCTGACTGCCTTTATCAGTCTCTCTCAGTATATTCAATATACTTCAATATATATCAATCTCTTTATTTCAGCTTTACTTATTGTAATTTGGAATTCAACTTGTGGTTGTTCTAGCGTCTTCTTTGCAAGCTGATCAACTCTCTCGTTCCCCTCTGCTCCAACATGTGTCAGCTTAATAACCAATCACATTACAGCCTTGACATCATTGAAATTCAGTCAGAGTTGTAACTCAATCGCTGTTTACGGATGCCATAGGAATGAATAAGAAATGCTGTAAGCTGTGTTCTCTTATAAAACGTCATTTTTTTCGTTGTAAACTCTAAAAATAGTTAAATCCAAAAGTATAGGTTGTTTGCACATGACGTCCCTGATGACGCGCGAAATGCAGCTGCTGGATGGCAGGAAGTGATTTTTCTCTCCATAGGAATCACTAGCAGAAACTCAAAATGCCTGTGTTTTGGAGAAGGGTATAACTGCAGCCCGGAGATCTCCAAATGGGGGCGGGAACTCCAAAATAGGGCGTGGTTTCCTCCCATTGACAGACAGGCACATGACACGCATGCGCAATTTTTTCCCCCAATCCACTTCAGTGCAAACTCCGCCCCACAGCTGATTTTAAAGTTTTTATTGCTTGTCAATGTGTTGATTTCCTACACTATGCTACAAAAAATGTTAACCCCTAAACCTACCCCACACCTGACCCTAACCAGTGAAATTGACTGCACGGCGGGATTGGCGCTGAACAGCGTGGTAAAGAAAGTTGCAGTTCAGGAGATAAACAGTTAATAAGATTATGCGATATGAGATC